TATCTGCACATTTTTGTTTCTCTCAACTCAAATCATGTCCATTTCACATCATCATACAATCACAAATTCAATTTAACACTCACCTTTGCCCTTTCCTGTAACAATGTGATTGGTAGTTTAGATTGCCTCATCACGACTTGGTACGGATCTCGTATAACTTTACCAAGTTCATTTTGAAATGTCTGTAGCGAGGACTGACTAACAACGCGAGTGTTACCTGAAAAATTAAGATGACTGAGTTTAGGAAACCTTTACTTAATTGTGTCTTTTAGAAATCGTTTATATTTGAACAAGAACAAATATTTCTTTCTGAGTCTGTAGTGTTTAAGGCATGTGACTTATTATATAAATTTTTTGAATTTTTAAGAATATGTGGTATAGTGTAAAATACTTTATTTTTGCATGGAATTAATTTTCACTATTTTCGCTGAAGGAATGATTCAGTGAAAATAACATTCCGCAAATATACCTTTTTTCCTACATTTTACATTCAACTTCTCAAAAATCAGTGAAAATAAATTGTATACAAAACACTTAAGTCTTTTGAGCGAAAATTAATTCTAGCTAAAATAAAGTATTTTATACTATTATGTACATTTTTTAAAACATGTGGTAAATTCTGTTGCTGTTTGCAGATTCACATCAGTTTAGTCAAAATCAAAACTAAGAATGACTCAATGGCAATTAACTGGGATTGAAAAAGGAAGTATTACCAGCATACAGAATAAATATTTAATGCAAGTATTTAATGGCCCTACAGTAAATCACAAACTTGTGTCAATAATTTGAAAAAAACACACAAAAAAAACCCAGAATTAATCAGTGAAAACCTTATTAACCTTACATCTTTCTTCTAAAAAAATATGCATCCACTCATATATAGTGCACTGAATCATTAAAATATGACTTATTTTGAACATCTTTGTAACTCACATAAGTGCACACACTACTAATAGAGCAAATATGGTACTATGTAATCTGATAATTTTATTCTATGTCTGGAAACAATTCAAGACAATTTTGTAGTTTAATAATGGTGCATGTACAGTTTGAATATGACACATATTCCAGATCTCTCCCACGAGATGTGTTGAGAATATCACTCACCAAACCATCTTCTGTTGGGTTCTACCCTTGCCACTGTTCCTAAAGGAAGCCAGTCTTGAAATGGAGCGGCTTTGACTATTTTGCCTTCTTTATTTCTGAAAAATGTAGTTTAGAAATACATGTACATGAGCAGTCACCAAAATGCTGTAAATTATCCAATTGTCACCACCACTAATATTTACCATCTGTTGCCTTCTCAGAATCATCATTTTTTCCTGCCAACATTTTGCTAATTTTTATGTATATTTTTACAATTATTTTGATAATTTTCAAAACAAATAGACATAATATCCTATTGGCTACAGGTTTTGATCACCAAAAAAAATGTGAAAAAATAATGCAAATTTTATCTTATCAAATTTTATCAAATTTTAACAAAAGTACACTTTGGTGCTAAAGCAATTTAATAACTTGAAGGCAGTGAAATCTTCAAATTCTTCACTGTGCATGTCATTTAAAAATATTTTGATACAGTACAGTGAACATACATAACATGATGGGGTGACAC